TTCCGTTGTGTCGTGGACTCGACATCGGTTGTCACGTGAGTGACGGGCGCAGGAGACGCGCGAGATCGCATGTGATGCGATGGCCAACGTCACGCGAGTGACGGGCGTGGATTCGCTCCTGGTCATGGATTTGACCAGGGTATATGGCTAAGCCTTATGGTGGACTCCATACGGGCGTGTTTGTGTTTGCCATTGATGTGATTTTTGTGTGGATATATTCGTTGCATGTGTTTTACTGAAAATGTCGATTGTACCGTTCTCATTGAGAACGGGATTTCCGGGTTCAACCCGGGCTACTCACTAAGCAGTTGTGCTTAGCCCTCGTGGTTTCATATTTTTCCAGATCACGAGGATTACGCCTAGCTCATCGGACGACGACGACTGGAGAGCAGCAGCATCATGTACGGGATTTGTTTTCCTAACTCCAAGGATATGTATTTTTCCGACATTTTGTACGGTTTAATTATGACTATTCGGACATGTGATTGTTTCGCGATACTAATCGCTTGTTGTACTTTCCGCTGCTACTTTGATATGTGATTTAAAATGTTTTTGTTTTCCGCGTTTTTCGCTTCCGCAAATTTGTTAATTTAATATTTTATTCTATATCGTCCATGTGGCACAGCCCGTATACTGTACACGGGTTACGGGTGTCACAACAACCTCTTCTTCTGTACCCTCTTCTTCTACAGCCTCTTCTTCTCTACCCTCCTCTTCTACAACAAATTCTTCTCTAAATCCTTCCCTAACATCCTCATCCTGAACCTGTTCTAGTACAACATTTTCATTCCTAACCTCTTCTTCACTGAACTCTTTCTCCAAAACATCCTCGTTCGGAATCTCTTCTTCAACAATGTCATCCGGACACTCTTGACTATCGGGGAGACTTAACACAACATTTACTTCTGATATCTGATGATCTACATAGATATCTATCTTCTTCCATTCCTCAGCTAGTTTACACATATCACAAACTTCCCAAACTACATCTTCATGACATACCCTCAATTCTTGCATTGTTTCATGAGGCAACTTATACAACATCATAGAAATAGGAGATGATATCTTATGGGATTGCACAAACTCCTCAAAGAAAAACCATGATAACTTATCTGGATCGAACTTCACTCCATCGATGTTGCATCCGCCTATGTAGCTGAGTTCTCCATCCACATTTATCATTGTTCCTCCAAAATGAAAATTGACATCGATTTTGTTTGCCATTTTTCATAGCAAATTAAAATGTAACCCTGCATAAATTTTAAAAACTTATTATCAACCAAAAATCGAACTCTGAAACCTATACCCAAAACCGAATTGAAAACTGTCATTTATATCACAACCAAATTCAAAAATCGAGCTCCAAAACCATAACTTATGATAGAACCTATACCCACAACCGAATTATATATCCCAAAATCGAACCTAAACCTATAATCTAACCTATACCCAGAACCGAACATATACCCAGATTCGAACAGATAATGAAGAAATCAACTCTAACCTTTCTATACCCAGAATCATGGATTCGAAACCTAAAAAGGACCAAAGAAAGAGAAGGCGAGATACGGACAACCCAGAGACTCGAACCCTTACACCAACGAAAGAGAGAGTGGAGGTGAGAGACCGGACTTGAGAGTCGAGAGTCGAGAGAGAGTTAACACATACCTTCACAGAGAAATCGAAGAGAGGAGAGCGCCGATTCACCACTAAGATGAGAGTTCTCCAAGTCGCACGAAATTCGCCCTCCGTTTTTAATTTCTAGAGTTTCTAATTTTTCCCAGATTTAGAGCACACGATTCTCAATTGGGGATTTTAGGGCTTTTGAAATGTTTACAAAACCGGATTGGTTTTTTGTTAAACCGTTTCGATTAATTGAACCGGTTAGTCCGACGTGGCAAAACACGTGGATGCTTAGTCGGATTTAATAAAGCTGAATCATCGATTTTTTACCGTTGAACAGTGACACGTTAAACGCCGTCAACCATATATGTTTTATTTGGTAAATTTTTAAAAGTATGGGTATTTATATGAGACTTTTGAAAAGTATAGGTATTTATCTGGGAATTTTATAGTATAGATATTTATCTGGGAGTTTTGTAAAAGTACAGGTATTTATCTGCGATTTTCCCTAATTTCTAATAGCATGCGTGCATGCATGCATTGTAGTAGCGATGACGTGGAAACAGTTATGTTAATTATCTTTAGATTGTTCCGACACCGAAATATTTCATTTTGATTTTGCGTTTTTTATATTATTATTTTTATCTATTTTATAATTTTAAGTAGATTTTAATAACATGAATTAGTGGGAAAACATGTGTGCGTCTCACGATTCTTCTTTAAATTCACTACGCGTATGATTAACGCGCTCATGCAGCGCGTGGAAGCACACTCATCAAACTTTTTATCTGGGAATCCATAAAAAAACCCTATTCTCACTGTCAAAGAACATAACGCCAATGTCACACTATTTCCAAGAACCCAGCCAATTTTTTGAAGAAAAAAAAATCACAAAACATAAAATCAGAATCGTCGGAAATCAGTGAACCCTCGTGGGGCGAAATATTTCCGCTTGTAATCCCCAGAATCTGCTAAAAGTTCGAGTTTTCTCTGTCTTTCTCTCATTTCTCAGGTAAAGTTGCACGATTTCGTTCGATTCCATTGCTTTCTTGTTTTTCTCTCGGAATCTTTTCCGCGTTTTGAGTTGTCTCTGATCAAGTGAAGCGCTACTGAGTTTCCGAGTCGTTGGGTCAGTTTCCTCGGATGATTTTTGTTTTCCTCGGAGTTTCTTTCTTCAATCTATTGTGGGTTTAAGCTGTTCCTGTCGGGTTTTAGGGATCTTATTTTGTAATTCTGCTAGCGCCAATGTTTAGTACAAAGGGAGCCCGATGGTTTTCGAAGATCGATCTACGGTCCGGATATCACCAGATTCGGGTTAAGGAGGAGGACATACAGAAGACGGCTTTCCGGACGAGATATGGGCACTTCGAGTTCGTGGTCATGCCTTTCGGGCTCACGAACGCGCCTGCGGTGTTCATGCAACTGATGAACCGCGTATTCATGGACTACCTGGATGAGTTCGTCATCATCTTCATTGATGACCTCCTTATATACTCGCCGGATCCGCAGACACATGAGGAACACCTGCGGAAGATATTGTGGAGATTGAGGGAGAACCGGCTGTACGCGAAGTTCAGTAAGTGCAACTTCTGGCTACAGGAGATCGGGTTCCTGGGACATGTGGTATCGGCCAGAGGCATTCAGGTCGATCCAGCAAAGATCGAGGCCGTCATGGAGTGGCAGTCCCCGACTTCCGCGACGGAAGTCCGGAGCTTTTTGGGGCTAGCCGGTTATTACCGACGATTCGTCGAGGGATTCGCCAAGATCGCTCGACCCATGACAAAGCTGACGGGGAAGAACGTCATATTCGAGTGGACGGCAGAGTGCGAGGAGAGCTTCGGAGAATTGAAGCGGAGATTGACATCAAAACCGAATTGAAAACTGTCATTTATATCACAACCAAATTCAAAAATCGAGCTCCAAAACCATAACTTATGATAGAACCTATACCCAAAACCGAATTATATATCCCAAAATCGAACCTAAACCTATAATCTAACCTATACCCAGAACCGAACATATACCCAGATTCGAACAGATAATGAAGAAATCAACTCTAACCTTTCTATACCCAGAATCATGGATTCGAAACCTAAAAAGGACCAAAGAAAGAGAAGGCGAGATACGGACAACCCAGAGACTCGAACCCTTACACCAACGAAAGAGAGAGTGGAGGTGAGAGACCGGACTTGAGAGTCGAGAGTCGAGAGAGAGTTAACACATACCTTCACAGAGAAATCGAAGAGAGGAGAGCGCCGATTCACCACTAAGATGAGAGTTCTCCAAGTCGCACGAAATTCGCCCTCCGTTTTTAATTTCTAGAGTTTCTAATTTTTCCCAGATTTAGAGCACACGATTCTCAATTGGGGATTTTAGGGCTTTTGAAATGTTTACAAAACCGGATTGGTTTTTTGTTAAACCGTTTCGATTAATTGAACCGGTTAGTCCGACGTGGCAAAACACGTGGATGCTTAGTCGGATTTAATAAAGCTGAATCATCGATTTTTTACCGTTGAACAGTGACACGTTAAACGCCGTCAACCATATATGTTTTATTTGGTAAATTTTTAAAAGTATGGGTATTTATATGAGACTTTTGAAAAGTATAGGTATTTATCTGGGAATTTTATAGTATAGATATTTATCTGGGAGTTTTGTAAAAGTACAGGTATTTATCTGCGATTTTCCCTAATTTCTAATAGCATGCGTGCATGCATGCATTGTAGTAGCGATGACGTGGAAACAGTTATGTTAATTATCTTTAGATTGTTCCGACACCGAAATATTTCATTTTGATTTTGCGTTTTTTATATTATTATTTTTATCTATTTTATAATTTTAAGTAGATTTTAATAACATGAATTAGTGGGAAAACATGTGTGCGTCTCACGATTCTTCTTTAAATTCACTACGCGTATGATTAACGCGCTCATGCAGCGCGTGGAAGCACACTCATCAAACTTTTTATCTGGGAATCCATAAAAAAACCCTATTCTCACTGTCAAAGAACATAACGCCAATGTCACACTATTTCCAAGAACCCAGCCAATTTTTTGAAGAAAAAAAAATCACAAAACATAAAATCAGAATCGTCGGAAATCAGTGAACCCTCGTGGGGCGAAATATTTCCGCTTGTAATCCCCAGAATCTGCTAAAAGTTCGAGTTTTCTCTGTCTTTCTCTCATTTCTCAGGTAAAGTTGCACGATTTCGTTCGATTCCATTGCTTTCTTGTTTTTCTCTCGGAATCTTTTCCGCGTTTTGAGTTGTCTCTGATCAAGTGAAGCGCTACTGAGTTTCCGAGTCGTTGGGTCAGTTTCCTCGGATGATTTTTGTTTTCCTCGGAGTTTCTTTCTTCAATCTATTGTGGGTTTAAGCTGTTCCTGTCGGGTTTTAGGGATCTTATTTTGTAATTCTGCTAGCGCCAATGTTTAGTACAAAGCGACGAATTAAGACAAATTTGTCTAAGAATCAAACATGCATGTCTATTAAAGAACGAAATGAAGAAATGTGGATGATGGAATTCAGATTTTCGGGTTCTGTTCATTCTGAATGAGCAGAATCATGGACTAATTTCTGGGTTGGGTTGTATGCTATAGGACTAGGGAGATTCGTCAGATTAAGGAGCGTGAATTTCGTTAGCATTGGTTATAGTTTGAGCAATGAATATGGCTTAATGCAGCTTATATTCAATCAATCTAAAGTCGTCAGCTTTTGGTTAACTTTGTAGTGTATATAAGGAAGCATGACGGTGGGGAGCATGGTGGAAGTGGATGTGAGCTCAGATGAGGAATCAGACATTAGCGAATCTGAAATTGAAGAATACGAAACAAAAATCTACGAAAAACTCAAGGGCGGAAAGCCTGTGGTGAAAGTCTCACCTCAGGATTTCGTCTGTCCTTACTGTCCAAAAAAGAAGAAGTCGAGTTATCAGTACAAGGATCTCCTTCAGCATGCTTCTGGAGTCGGTAATAGCAACTCCGAGAAAAGAAGTGTCAAGGAGAAGGCGAGCCATCTTGCTCTTGCAAAATACCTCGGGAAGGATCTTGCAGATTCCACAACCCCATCTACGGCCGTGAAAAGCTCCGATCCTCTTCAGGGATGTGACCATTACGAGAAACTCGTCAGTCCTTGGAAAGGTTCGTTCTGGTTATAATTTTTAAGTCTAATAATTGTTTCATACTGTTACTAACAATGTTGTCAAGAAACTAAGTTTGTATCATATTTGTGATTGTTTATCACGTGTGCCTCAAATTACTTAACAAAACTTGAGTTTGGGGTGTATCAGGCATTGTGGTTAATATCCCGATTACAAAGACAGAAGATGGTCGGTCTACTGGGGAAAGTGGATCGAAACTGAGGGATGAATATATTCAAAGAGGATACAATCCAGTTAGGGTTCGTCCTTTATGGAACTACATGGGCCATTCAGGAACCGCAATCGTTGAATTTAACAAAGAGTGGACTGGACTTCACAATGCTTTGTTGTTTGAAAAGGAATATCAAGCAGATGGTCATGGGAAAAAGGATTGGTTGAAAAACGGTCCAAAATCTGGCCTATATGCATGGCTTGCCCGTGCTGATGATTATAATGCGAAAAACATTATCGGAGAACACTTACGAAAGATTGGTGACCTCAAAACTATCTCCGGTCTAATGGAAGAAGAGGCCAGGAAACAGCAAATGCTTGTACAGAATCTGACACAAATGGTTGAGGATAAAAACAGACACATGAAGGAGATAAAGGAAAAATGTTCGAGTGCTTCTCTAGAGCTTAAGGAAGTGATAGAAAAGAAGGAAAAACTTCTTCAAGGTTACAATGAAGGTGTGTGTGTTTTCCTCTGGTATCAAAATGCTGCTTCCCTCAGAGACATCCTCTCTTTTATGATTTTATCTTCGTCACATTGTGTTAATGATCATCTTAGAGTAGATTACTAGGGCATGCTTTTATTTCTATCACATGTTGTCTTTGTGTTTGTAGAGCTGAAGAAAACGCAACAAATACAAATGGATCATTTCTATAGGATCTTTGGTGATCATGAAAAACAAAAGATTCTGCTGGAGACTCTGAGGCAAGAGCTTGAATGGAGAGGATTGGAGTTGGAACAACGTGAGGCGCACAATGAAATAGAGAGAAAAAAGTTGGCAGAAGAGCTCGAAGAGGTATACATTAACATGCTTATGGTTTGGTTCATTCCTCTGACATGTATCTGACCTCAAATATGATTACCGAAGAAAAAAAAAAGGCATAAGGGTTTAAGTAGTCGTTCTTTCTGTTTCATCATTCTTTTACAGAATGCCATTAAAAATAGTTCTCTTCAACTAGCTGCCATGGAACAACAGAAGGCCGACGAGGAAGTGAGAAAATTGGCTGAAGAGCAACAGGTCAGAGGTTGTCCTAATTTACAGGGTTCAGTTGTTGCCTTGTGAAACTTGTGTGACTGATTGTGGCCAAGCTTGTTTATACTTCAGAGCCTAAAGAAGAAGCTTCATGAGAAAACAATTGAACTAGAAAGACAACTAGACCAGAAACAGGCACTTGAGCTGGAGATTGAACAACTCAATGGACAGTTGAAGGTTATGAAGCACATGGGATCCGACGATGACGTTGAAGTTGTGAAGAAGGTTGAGACAATGGTGAGCGATCTAAGTGAGAAGGAAAGAGAACTTGCAGACTTGGACAAATTTCACCAATCTCTGATTGTAAGAGAGAGGAAGATCAATGATGAGCTTCAAGATGCTCGCAAGGAATTGATAAGTGTTCGTATCTCTCGACCGGCTTTTGTTGAACCTATTGCTCTTTACACAGGACATTGTTATGGGCAACTTGTCATGTAGGATTTAATCTTATCACAAGCTCAGATGGTATTGAATGTGATAGGGTAGATTGATTGTATATAATGACAATAAATTAAACACTTTGTTTGGTTATTCCCTTGATTTTTTCGGTTAATAATTCATTTGCATTGCAGATTCTAAAAGACATGAATTCATATATCGGCATTAAAAGAATGGGGGAGCTCGACAACCAACCGTTCCTGGAAGCAATGAAAAGAAAATATAATGAAGAAGAAGTAGAATACAAAACAGTTGAAGTTTATCAGCTCTGGGAGGAATATCTTAAAGACCCAGATTGGCATCCTTTCAAGCGGATTAAGGTGGATAACGGGGACAGAGAAATGGTACGCCTTTTTTGTATAACGCTCAAGAACGGGTGATTGTAGCTTACCGTGCAAAGATAACCACGAAGAGATTTAGAGATTTACGGCTTATATACTTGCTGAAACTCTGTGCTTATGCATGTATGCATACTCCTATAATCTGCATGTCATGGATTTTCCATGTTTGATCTTCTTTCTCAAGGCCCGTTCTTTGGTTTAGTGTTTGCATAAAGAAACCAAGATGTGCATGTAAAAACTCTCATCAGTATCATGCTGACCCGGAAAACGTTTTTCTATTGATCAGGAAGTGATAAATGATGACGATGAGAGGCTGAAAGATCTGAAGAAAGAACTGGGCGAAGGCCCGTACAAGGCGGTTACATCGGCTCTGTTGGAGATAAACGAGTATAACCCGAGCGGAAGATACATAACCTCGGAGCTGTGGAACTTGAGAGAAGGCAGGAAGGCTCTTTTGCAAGAGGCTGTCACTTGTCTTCTTGAACTGTACGATAAGGCAAAACGCAAGCGAGGGATGGCTTGAGTTCTTAAAGGTTATCATATCTTATCGCCTTATCCGGCCATTACACTAATAATCGTGGAAAACGCTAGTTCCTTCCACGTTTTGCCCCGTCTAAGATCGGTTTTTCACCGTTGTGGGAGACTGGAAAATGCAGAAGCTGGTCTTAGTAACAACAACTACTGTTGTCTAAAACTAGCAAGAAGTTATTTATGTTTGATGAACTTTGGTCTGACTTTAGTGATTATGAATGGATCGACTGTAAATGATTGAAGCTTTATCTATCTGTTTCTTCTGGTGGTACTTACAGATCCAATAAGCTGAACAACAATAAAAGAATATCTATAAAACTACAAGTCCAGATCCTGCCAAATTACAGAATGAAATAAAACCACAAAGAAAAGAATGGAGAAAAATAAAATAAAACTACAAAAGTCTTGTGCAAGGGACCCATCTTATTTTCCATTGGAGTCATTTACAAATTGCAAAAAAAAAATGCTGGTGATGAACAATAATCAAAGTTAAAGGTGGGTCTTTTTCTTCTAGAAATTGGGTTGTGAATTTTTGTTGTTTCATTTGTACAGTTTGTGACCTTGTTCCTTTGTCAAATGAAAGTTACATTACCTTTCTTCTTCTTCTTTACATGGAACCAGTTTGGACAGTAGATCCAACAACTCTGTTCCTGTCTGATGCTGGATTCTCCAAGGTTTTCGGAACTCCAGTTTGATGTTTCCCCTGCTGTTTCACTTGGTGCTTCGACCAGTAAGCATGTGCGGCCAAGACCCTGTCCAGTAGTTCTTGTGGCACTGGCTCTCCTCTTCGTTGTTGCGGAGATATACTCGCGGTATGGACCAGCGTCTTCCATTTGTCCTGCCAAAATCCCGAGAAACTGTTAACATAAGCTATGTCTTTACGAGAATTTTTCATGCAGAGTCGGTTTTTCTACCTTCAAATCCACGTAAGTTCTGTGATCTGCGTTTTCGAAAGCACGTAACTTTACGTCACGCCATCTGCAGGATGAGATTACAGGTCTTTAGTTCCATGAGCAAAAAAGTCAGATCACTACGACAAGTGAATAGCCATTGCCAAACCAGTTGTGTGTGTATTTTACCTGCCAGTCCCGAGTTCTTCAACTGCTTGTACCAGAGCTTCAACTTCGCCCACAGAGAACGGTCTCCTGGTTCTGCGTTGTGCAAAGTCGGTACACTTGGGTTTCTGGTTAACTGGGACTATAGCCAGTGCCTCGACTTCCACGGCTGGAACTGGAACCAGTGCCCTTGAATCTGACAAGGATTCATCAGCTGATGCTTCACTCTGATACGGAACTAATTCATGGTTATTCTCCGCACCATTGCCCGGATGAATCATGTCTTCTGCATCTCGGAGGGGGCAAGGATTTCCAGAATCTAACACGGGAGAAGCTGCAGACCTGGGAAGATCATAAGAAACGCCTATGCTTATGTATTCCCAAAAGGGTTTAATTCTAAAAATAGTAAACCCGCAGAAGAACATACAATTAGTAGTACCTTTCGGACAAATTTGTCGAGTCAGATGGCACAGAAAGACGAAGATCTTCTGAGCAAAAAAGCGTTGATACTTTAGCGGGACCAGGCTCTAAGGTGAACCCAAGGTTGCCGATATTTTCTTCACATGAGATGCCAGTCTGTGATAGAGTTTTGCTGTCATCTCTAACCTTCTTCCCTTGAACAAGTACCCCGACACGTACTCCACCGTCGAGTAAGGCAGTCACAGCCTCCAACACCGTCCTCTACATATCCCATAAGTAATAAGATCACGACTATGTTGTAGAGTAACCCCAACCATCTGCTGTAGCCCACAACAAGAAAAACGACAAATATCGCTAGAAGACACTAGAAAAAATACCTTTAGTGAGCCCACTGTCGTGCTTTCTGGAACTTCGATAAAAAGCTCTGGTATCCTAAAGGACTTGATGCTGAACTTTACTGCAAAAGACATTACAAAGTACATATAATGAGAGATCTTCACTCTGAACTATCAAACGTTAAGTACCATGAGAATCATTGAAAGAAAGACCTATACCTGGGGAGAGCAGACCGCTCCCTCCTTTCTCAGGTGAATTGGAAACACTTTCACTACTGAGCCCTCCATCAGAAGTCACAACCGAGCCTCTGTCAGACGATCTTCTCCTCTTACAAATGGCATCACGCTGCCATCCTTTGTAGCCATAACATGACTTCCTTTTGCGGTACAGAGCCTTCAGGCCACCATCTATACACATCCACATTCCACAGTCAGTGTAAGAATAACTCGGGCAAAAAAATGCAGGAATTCTCTCTGCAGATACAGTATAGTTTGATGCTAACCAGCTCTTTTGTGTTCGTAATCCTTCAACTTGGGAACTGCTTTCCAATACTTGGATGACAGCAGCTTTCTTATTCTCCGATCCCCAATTCGTGTTGAAGGCCTATACGAATTGAATTTATTGCTAAATTTGTAACACCTAAAAAAGTTTTCGTCATCATCTCTGCTACCTAACTTAGTATGATTCCCATATCTAGCAAAAGAACCGTTACGGACCGGGTCCTTGCAAGATGGCGATTTTACGTCACCATCAGAGTGAACTGATTCAGGAAACGGCACACGTAGTTTGGCCGTATCCTTTGGCTCACAGATATCAGCTACTGTTAAACCTCCATCACCCAATCTTTTGGTTGCTTCTCCTTGTCCTTCAAACCCAGTATTCACAAAAACATCACCTTTTTCTCCAAGGATGCCCCCGAATTTGCAAGAGAAATCAGGATCCTCTTTCTTGTTTTGATACCCTACAGGCTTCAAATCATGAGCCATATCATAGTCAGACACTGCAATTCGATCCAAAATGCCAAAGTCCTCGCAAAACGAAAACTTGTTTAGCAGACACTTCTCGCTAGTGATATCATCAGCAGACTTCAAGCCAGAGTTTCCCCGATCAGGAAGCTCGGTTTTCAAAGGCTTATATTCATCTACTTGTTCTTGTTTAATCTCTTTACCCAAATTATTTAGATCATCCCCTTCGAAAGCATTAGTAGAAGCTGACGAACTTTCGCTTTCTTGCAGTAATTTTCCAGCCAGAGAAGCAAGCAAATCAATTGCACAAATCTGATCATCATCATCAATGCTTTTGCTTAAGATCTTCCTCTGAAACAGCAACCACATTCATCAGAAAAAGAACTCATCACATTGACATAACGGATCCACATGTTGACATGATCGTTTTACCCTGCACGAACGAGGAGCCTTCGGGATATTGGAGAACTCAAAGCCATTGGATCCGCAATCTAATCTTCTCTTGAACACCATCTCTCAAATGTGCATATCAATTCAACTTCATAACCTGCGAAGAATGAACACATGCATCAACCACGTGATCATCACGAATCAAAATCAAGAACCACGAATTAAAAAAAGGAATCAAATTTCATTTGAAGGGTGTGTTCCAGGAACCAAGCAATGTCTGCTAAAACTGGGAAACAGGCATGTACATACATACATCCATTCATGAGATGGATAATCGTCAGATCAAATCTCCGCCATACACTTTTTTATTTAGATTTTAAAAATTTTCCCGAATACCCGAATATTTCTCCACCAATCTATCAAATTTACAGATCCAAGTACACAGGTGAAGATCTTCGAATGCAAATGCAAAATTTATAAACAAAAGGGTATTTCAGAATTCTGAAGATCAAAATTGACAGAGAACAAAAACATCTGAACAGATGAATCAGAGGCAAACCCAGAAGATCGGTTAACCGTAACAATTACTAAAAGTAATTTAGATCAGATCAACGACCGCACCAGAAACGGATCAAAGAGATCATTGAAACGAGAAGCATGCGATGAAAATGCAAAAGCAGAGATCAATCAAGGACTCAACGAGGAAACTAAACGACAAAAACAAAAGAGAAACAGAAGCAGATCCAACAATTTAACTCAAATGCCAGATTTCACTTAGAATCCCAAATGCAAATTTCGTAATTCATCTGAAAACAATTAATCCTCCGATGCTTCCGATCAGATCTCGATCAAACTGGCAATTCCCACCAAACCCGCCAAACAAATTATTCGAATTTTTGAAACTCAAGCATCAAGTCCAAATCATCACAGCCCAGAGAAGCACATTTAAAAAAAAAAATTATCTCCGGCTTCCGGAGAAGAGAAAACGGATCAACAAAAGAAAACAAAGAATTCCAAAAAAAAAATAACAATTGCGATCAATTCGAAACTCACCTACCAGCAACCAATTCTCTTACCACGATCCTGCTCCAATTCCGATCAGATAACGCAAATTGAATCCAGATACGACAACTACTGTACAATTAAAAATTTACAGGTGATCAACGAACAATTCGAAATTCACAGATTTCAGAAGGAAAATTTCTCGATCCTCCCTCTCATTTCTTTTTCTTTTTCCGTTTTATTTGTTGCTCTCTCTCTCTCTAATAGAAATTATGAAGAAGACACAAAACCCATTGGAAACAGAAACCATGGAAACCAAACTAAGATGCTTAAACCCCTTATATTCTCAAGAAATATACAGTTTTATTTTTATTTTTATTAAAAATAATAATGACCACACAACCGGATTATCCGGTAACAAGCACTGTTTTACCGACTATAGGCGGTCACCTCCTAAACCTCTCCGACTATTTCTTAACCCCTAAATTTAAAGAAAAATGGGAGGCTCGGCCACGTGGAGGATCCTCTCAGTACAAGAAACCTTTTTTCGTTGTCAGAAAATTTTAATAATTTATAAACAAAAATAGGGAAAATTCATGGGGAATATTACGAGGAGATGATCCGGCGTGGATCGCCATTTACTGTTCCGTGCACGTTCCGTTCCTATTGGTCCACGTGGACAAGATGATGATGATGTTGTGCCTACGTGGCTTGAGCTGCGATTATTTTGTCTGATTTATAAAATAAAAAGGGTATGAAATCAAATATTATATCAAAGATACCCTCTATTTCTCATTTTTATTTCAAGATATACCTTTTTTCATCTGTGAATATGCGATCCATATAATTAGAAATTTAATTTTGGTCACATTGGTCATAATATTAAATTTATAATTTTTTATGAAATGATTAGTTATATATATAATATATGAACATAATGAATGAGTGTGATCATCATAAATTTAACATTATGACCAAAATAATCAAGATTAAATTTCTAGTCATATGAATCATAGAGTCAAAGTTGGAGAATGATATGAAATCAAAATAACAAATGGATGATATTTTTGATAATGCCCCCAAATCAAACCCCAAATGGTAAAAACGCCAAAATCATTTAAGTGAATTAGCAAAATAAACTATGCAAACGGCACTTCTTTTACTAAAATAGATTAATAGTGTGTGTATATATATATTACATTGCTTACGTAATATGTTTATTATGCTCCCACATTATTTTATACATAACTTTATTAGTAAATATGCAAAAATCGGTACTAGGTAAGATTTTAAATAATATATGTATAATACGATAATTAGCACCTATTATATATTAGAATCAAATTTGAAAATTGAAAATCATCAATGATGCAAACCAAATATTTTTCCTTTTCTTGGTCAATCTTTCTAACTATAAAATAGATTTTAAGAGAATATAAATTTACATGCAAGATTATTTACGGAGCAGTCATATTGTATTTTATAATTAACGAGATTTATTTTATTTTATTGTGCGTGAGATCCAACCGCCCAACAAAATATATGATATTTTATTTAATGGAAAAATAAAACAAAATGGTATGTTATAAAATAAAAATAAGATTCCCCTTCCACATGATTGATAGTCCACATCACAGCTCTCGTGAATTTGTTCAATATTTAATACTCCAACAATATTGGATTTTATATCCATGTGTGCTCATATGCATATAAGACATCCCACTAATTGCTGCTTCTGCCCACCTCAAAAAATTTAATATTATCATGTAGATTATTTAATCATTATGAAATAATTATCCATATTATCCATCGACATGAATATATTATAAATATATATATGTATATATATCTGCAAATGTTAACGCATAAAGTTATGATTTTTTTTATTACGATAGAAAACCTCTATCCTATAACCTTTCGGATCGGACACCGGATACCGCAATGCCTTTCAACCCATAGACCGGATAAGAACGACATCAGGACAGCGGGTATTGTGCCATTATAGTATCTAAAAAATTTAATCTTAAAATTGTGAGAGAAAATTTAACAGATTGCTATGCAAATATATATATATATATATATATATATATCATTTTTAACGTTTTTTTTCTGGCTTTTAAAAGAGTCATATTCTTATAAAATATTTCTGAGATTTAACTTAAATTTTGTAGACATGAAAATATATTTGGCTCATTTACAAAATAAGATGGTTATTCGTGTGGATATGAAATCCTTGAAGATATGATGAAAAACGAACAGGTGGCTCTAAACTTCGTTTCAAATGTCTGAAGCCAATCTCTTGGGAGATGATCTGACCGGTTCTTCCAGTTCTCCAGTTCTCAAACAGTTCGTTGTTTCTAACGCTAATGAAGACACGTGTCGGTTACTTTCCGGTCAACTTTGGCGGATCCAGTTAGTATATTCTTTGCACCTGATTCCCAACCGGTAACCCACCTTCTATTTCACTGTCTATTTATTGTAAAATAAAATATTTATTTTTTATGACCAGCGATGTGGTGATTAATATTATTATGGGGATATGAAAAATGCAACCTTGAAATATAAATTTATATTATTATTATTATTAAGCTTACATTAAATTAATGTTTGATGATTATAATAAAAAACGGTCCAAGGATTGAAAGGAACAAATGCGTAATGTGCAGTGTATGAGACATGTGACGACTTGGAGGTTACAGCAGGGTACTTTTTCTTGTGAGTTTTCTCATCTTCTAAAATAAAATATAACATTAACATAAATAAATCTATAACAAATGATTTTTTAATGAAAATAATCATTTTTAGCGTGTGATTTAATAGATTCATATGAATTATTGTTTTCTTAAGTTATATTTATAACGTTATATCAAAACGTTTACTGCTATGTAATGTAACACGTCATATTTAGAGTAGCCCTATATTTTTTTTTTTCTAACTCTTTGTATAACTAGACCATCAAATTTTTTAAAATGAAATTATGTTCTATTTATGAATATCTTTGTAGATAATTTCTTTAAAAACGGAATAACTAGTGTTATTTTCTATTTTTGTTTTAAAAACACAATACGTTACAATAAGTATAACTATATTATACATGAAAAATAATTGGTCTTCACATTTTAAATAATAATATAATGTTCATGTACAAATCTTTATCATATTAAAAAAAGGCAATTCGACATTTTTTTTGTTAATTTTAAGAGGTTTTTTTGGGGACACATCTTTGAAGATCGAACTGTTTCTGTCGGCGTGTGTGTATATATATATTTATTTATATATATTAAAAAGAAAAAATCACATATAAATACCTAAATTTTTATAAAAATCCTATATAAATATCTGAACTATATACCTGAACTTTTTAAAAATCTTATATAAATACCTAAACTTCTGAAAAACTTCCATATAAACCTAAAATACGTTAATAATATCACCTATTTTTATTTGAAAAATATCTGAAATTTGTATTTATTTGAAATTTTTTTTAAAAGCCTAGGTATCTATATAAGATTTTTTAAAAATTCAGGCATTTATATGGAAATTTTATAGTTTAGATATTTATGTGGAATTTTTGTAAAAGTTAAGGTATTTATATGTTATTTTTTTAAAAAAATAAAAATTTTAAAAATAAAACAAGCCATGGCCTTCTTATCTCCGAGAGTACAGCTAAGCCATGAAGAATACATTTGTTCCTTTTTTTTTTTCTGTCGCCGATTTGAAGCAATCATACCTTCATTTTTTTTTAATTTCATTATTTTTTTCTTAGGGTAATGATATAATATTACATTTTATGGAATCTCTATGCAATATATATTCCATATTTTAACGCGGCTGTGTGTAAGGATTGACACCGACGGGTGTCTAATAGGAATACTCAATTCAATTTATATATTTTCACTCACAAATGTAAAATTTTAACTAAATTTTCAAAATAGCGTAAATCGACTTTTCTTTCGAAATGTAGATTTGGTGTAATTTCTATTTTAAAAACATTTACTAGAAATTATATTTTTTTTTATTTAATAAATTCTCTCGTATTAATATAAACTACTAGTTTCAGCTATTAAATAAACTTATCTTAGTCCAAACTTATTAACATATTCACGTTTTATTCAACAAATTTAATATTATTTATTCACCAATATAACAGTGACCAGATTAAACCAGCATGATATATTGACATATTTATATTAGTTGTATCTCTATTCTAAAAAAATATGGTAACAAAAAATTAATTTTTTTATAATCCGAAAGTTAACTAAATTTTTGACCCAACTAAATTTTCTATAAAATCGGAAAAGTTCGAGTAAATGTTTCTCTTCGTATTTGGATTTAAACTCTGACGGTTTATACTATTTTGTTGTTTTTAAATTAAAATATGTATTTTTAGAGGTTTCTATAGATAATGAAATTCTAAAGTTATGTATTAAGGTCTGGACACTTTTAGTAAGAACGAGGAAGACCGCACGTTAATGAACGGGAGGAAGAATACCTTGGTACAAGTTCTACTCCATCTATATAATTTTAACTATATTATGCAAAATTAATATCTAATATATATATATATATATATATATATATATATTCTTTTGGAAAAGGGTTCTTTTTTTTTACTGATGGGTAACTAAAAGTATTCCATATTATTCGACTGATTTAGAAATTTATTGTTTTGGTACTCCACAAATAGTTAAAGATTATATTTATATTATCATGAACAGAAAGTGTTTGTATATATATATATATGTGTGTGTGTGTATGTATGGATGCGTGAGGGAAGAAACCTAAAAGGTACGATTCCAAAACCGGTAGCTCCAAGAAACCTTTTGTTTTTTTTTAATTAAAATGTTGGGCATTGCGTGAAAAGCAATATAACTGTAAAAATAAAATGATCAAAGATTCTTTATTATTATTATTATTATTATTATAATTAGTAGTAGTAGTATTAGTATTTTTCTGACAAAGTGAAATATGATAGAACCGAACCAATCTAAACTATCAAATTTTCTAGTTTTTAAATTAGACTAGACACATCTATTTTATCCGTTTTTTTGTTATATCGCGAATTGATCTTGAACGACGTTCAACTATGAACCGCTATCTTTAAACCTTGTACATTCAGACTAATCCCCATTCATCTTTGGGTCAATGCACTAAGCGGTAAAAGATTGGTCTGAATGATAATTTCATTCCCGATTTGAACACTCTATAAATTTAAAACGGTATATTTTAACCAATTTCGTCTTTTTGTACCAAAAAAAATTCTGTATGAATGATGTGAAAATAGAGTTTAAGGTCTAGAAATATCATCATGGATTTAGTAAAAAGCAAACATCTATTGCAATTCACATTAATAATAATACGGAAGAAAAAAAGAAATAAATTATATCGGAAAAGGACCACAGAAGTAGATATCAACAAAAGGGAACAAAGGGCATTAATTTTTGGTGGGGTGTTATAATGAGCCTCTTTTGTGAATTTAAATTTGGAATGGTCCGACATTTTTATCGACCACTGAAACCAAGAAATATAATTTACGACCACATGTTTCATGACGCTGAAACGATTGGATCGTTTTTTCTTAGATAAGGAAGGATGGAGGAGATGTTTGGCCCACTTTCTCATCATGCCCGTTTTCTCTTCTTGTTTGGTCTTCAATTAAACAATTGATTAAATAAAGAAAAAGACGATGCTTGGTGGTGAATTTTTATATTGTTTAGTACAAAAAAATTGCATACTTTGAATTTGCGGATGAATTAACGTTTTGTTGGGGATTTGTGTAATATATACCTTTTTTGTTTGTGGGCTTCAAAATTTTAATCCATGCAAATTAAGAAGATTAAAAAAAAAAACCTTTTTGGTCAATAACAATTGCGGCGGTTCATTAGAAAACTTGGATTTGATCGTATTTTAATTCTAATTTAATTTCCAATTCAAAGGTTTATTTTGAATTTAAGACTGAAGCCGAATTAAAACCAAACAAAGTTCTCTATTATGTTTGTGGCTTTTGCCTTGGTAAGAACATATAATAATTTTAAAGGAAACAAAAGATTAGGTTTGTTGGGCAATCAAAGTCCCCGTCTTTTTCTTTTTGTTCTCATTTATACTCAAAAGTCGATGATTCTCCAGCACTTAGCAGTACCGTCAAAATAAGGTAACAACGCTGAAAGAAACGAAACGAAGATTCGATTCAATGGCACAGTTCATCATCATCATCATCACCATCATCATCCATTGCCCAACCATCACATACAAGTAACACACGCGTGTCTCGGAAACTGACCTGAGGAAACTCCTTAGAAGCATTTTCTGTGAACGATCGATGGTCCAGACTCGTCGTACTCCGCTTTCGCAATCCACATCTGCATCCGAAAAACACGTTTTTGTTTAGTTGGTGAGTCAAATTTCGTGGTTAACGAGACGAGGTTCATCGATAAGAGTGTATACGGACCTGTTGGAACGTGCTGAGGGAAGCCAAGATGGAACCACCGATCCAGACGCTGTATTTACGCTCGGGCGGGGCAACGACCTTTATCTTCATGCTGCTCGGGGCGAGAGCTGAGATCTCCTTGCTCATCCTGTCAGCTATGCCGGGGAACATCGTCGTTCCACCGCTCAGAACGATGTTCCCGTAGAGGTCCTTTCTGATATCCACATCACATTTCATGATTGAGTTGTACGTTGTCTCGTGGATTCCTGAGGACTCCATACCTATCAAGGAAGGCTGGAAAAGGACCTCGGGGCATCTAAAACGTTCAGCTCCGATAGTGATCACTTGCCCATCTGGCAACTCGTAGGTTTTCTCGACTGCAGAGCTCGTCTTAGAAGTTTCTAGCTCTTGCTCGTAGTCGACGGCGATGTACGCTAGTTTCTCCTTCACGTCTCTCACGATTTCACGTTCGGCTGTGGTTGTGAAAGAGTACCCACGTTCCGTGAGAATCTTCATAAGGTAATCAGTGAGGTCTCGCCCAGCAAGATCGAGACGGAGAATGGCGTGTGGAAGAGCATAACCCTCGTAGATTGGTACAGTGTGGCTAACACCATCACCAGAGTCCAAAACAATACCTTAACACACAATATAGAAAATCAGTGTTACACGATCATACAAGCAGAAAGATTACGGTTTTTTTCAGAACCAGTCATTTGAAAAACCAGCCGTTAAACCAACACACTCACCAGTTGTACGACCACTGGCGTACAAGGAAAGGACCGCCTGGATGGCGACATACATGGCCGGAGCATTGAAGGTCTCGAACATGATCTGGGTCATCTTCTCACGGTTAGCCTTAGGGTTCAGAGGAGCCTCAGTAAGCAGAACGGGGTGTTCTTCCGGAGCAACACGGAGCTCATTGTAGAAAGTGTGATGCCAAATCTTTTCCATGTCATCCCAGTTGTTCACGATACCGTGCTCAATCGGATACTTCAATGTCAGAATACCTCTCTTCGACTGTGCCTCATCCCCAACATATGCATCTTTCTGACCCATTCCAACCATGACACCAGTGTGACGTGGGCGACCCACAATGCTAGGAAAGACAGCTCGTGGAGCATCATCACCAGCAAATCCAGCCTAAGGGCAGAATCAATCCAATAACGTTGATGGATGAGACAACCAGAAACAATTTAAAAAGCAATGAAATTATATATGGAGGGCGAGGATGCCAAAATAAAAGGTAGACCCTTACCTTAACCATTCCAGTTCCATTGTCACAAACGAGGGGCTGAATGTCGTCGGTGTCCGCCATCTCCTATTCCCTCCTTACTGGAAAAAAGATGGTTATCGAACAATGTCAAAATACCAAATCACTGTATAAATTTAATACACTACCGCAGGACCTTTTGAAACTCATATCACAAAAGAAATGCAAAAGGCGAGCTATTCCCAAATTGTGTTCAATATCCAACTTCGCTTTAATCTCGTGCACCACGCAAAACAAAATCGCAGAATCTCATCTAGTTTTATGCCTAATAAAGCAAGCTATCCAGAGAACTGTTGCAAATGTACATAAAATTACATCCTAGATTATAAGATAAACGAGATAAGAACATAAGACCCTAAAAGCCATTCAGATTCTGTAAATCCAACGGCGAAATAAGTTTCACAGAAACCATTCAAACAAATCTCTGATGGTTTAGATAACTGTTGAATCTTTAGGAAAAACAATGTAATCCAAGGAAAAAGCTACATAGTAAAAACCTAGACCCCTCGAAGCTCTTAATCACCGAATGAAGACAAAACTCCGCACCGAAACATCACAGAGATTATTCAGATTTCATCGAATCTTCGAAAGACAAACAAAAACAGACCAGATACACGGCCATCGAACCATTTACCGAACAAGAACAGAAACTAACGCAGATCTATGCCGTTTTCGTACAGTTCGAGGAACAAAAAAACACGAATCAATAACAGAGAAAACGAGAAGATTCACACAGGAACCTGAAACGTCGACGAAGACGAGCGAGGCCGGTGGAGAGAGACGATGAAAGATAGGGACGTTGAGCGTGCGAGTGGCTCTTCCTACGAATGTGCAAATGTGGAAGAAGGATTTGGGGTTCATTTTAAACTTGGGGGTCGTTCCATTGATTTGACCGTTTTGCCCCCTCCTTCCCGTCTCCACAAAAACGTTTTTTTGGCTGTACATGACAGGTTTTTTCTTTGCCACTGGTTTTTTCCCCCTATTTTTCCCACAATCTCTTACCATCTCTCATTTTTTTTCTAGCTATCTGCCTATCTATATATACATAAATTTTGTGAATGTGCTTGTAGAGAAAATAAATACCAAATTTTAGTGATGATATTAAATTTAAATTATTAATAGCTAGAAAAAAGAGTGAGCTTTATTTGTATTTTTATAAATTTTAAAACGATGAATCAAATGAGATATGTAAAATTCATTTAAAATGGCTAAATGAATCGCGAAATAAAAATTTAAAGAGGTTAAAATTTTGGATTTAAAAGAGTTTTGAATTGGATTTAAATTATTTGGTTTTAGAAAATTATTCTGGATTGAACTTAACAACAGTTGATTGAATTTTAATTAAAAATCTTGTTAATTAATATTGTATATTTTAGAGTAAACATACGTAGAAAATGATCGGTCAATCGGAGAAATCTATATGAATACTCTTTCCAAATGAAAAATCGAACCTATATTGGAAAGAAGATTTACGGCGATCACCAAATTACTACCACATATCATAAATCAATAAATATTTTTTAGAAAACAAAATTTTTATACACATATATACATATACGCATACACACACTCCTTAATCTCTATCAATTGTATTATTGTAGAACCCTAAAAATAAGAGTTAGATCAAACATTATTCCGAATGGTTCATATGAAGTTTTTTAAAAAAAAGGAATGAACTGTTCACAAAACTTACGGACGCTCCAAGCCGCCATTCGAACAAAAAAAACGCGCGAACTCCAAACCAATCAAATTGGAGAATATCCGAAAAATCTAAGCCGTCAGTTTCTCCTCACCTAATCGGGCGGTCCAGATTCCCCACAGCTCAGCGCGAACTTTCTAGAAGAAAATCAAAGCATTCCCTTATAAAAAAGTATCACCGGATCACAACCCGTACCCACACAAACAGATACATCGTTGGATTTTCTTCATCATCTGAATTTTTCCGGCGATCTGGTACTATTCGTAATGGCCGCAAAAGGAGAGGGTCCGGCGATCGGAATCGATCTCGGGACGACGTACTCGTGCGTCGGAGTATGGCAACACGACCGTGTCGAGATCATCGCAAATGACCAAGGAAACCGTACGACGCCGTCTTACGTCGCCTTCACCGACACCGAGCGTCTGATCGGTGACGCCGCGAAGAACCAGGTCGCGATGAACCCGATCAACACCGTTTTCGGTATGTAAATTGTCTCTTCCTCGTAATGATTCGATCCGGATGTGATGTTGTTTGGTCTGGATTTTGCTAGATCTGGTGTTATTCGTTTCGGATCTTTGCTAATGCGATCATGAATAATAATTTAATTGGTTTAACAAAAAAAAATAATTTAAATGCCGTTGGATCTTCTTCGATTTCATAAGATCTATCATATCTTTTTTGTTGTTCGTGTTTGATTCTGTGGTGTCTGGACGTAAAGCTTCTTTCATGTCAGTGATTCTTTTGGTGCATGTGGTTTTTTCATCGGTTGTTTATATTTGTTTGAAACCTAGAGAATCAGAGTTTGAACTTTTTTTTAGGTTTTGGTGGGGCTTCTGAATATTGATTGAAAATTCTGTACAAGTGATTTGTTGACGCAGCTTTGCCAAACAGATATTGCTTGAAATTCAGTACCGTTTGAAATTCAGTACAGGTAATCTGTAGATAGCGATCTCTGCATTTAGGGAATTTGCGGAAGTAGAACTTCTGTTGATATAGATTTGTTTCTACAACGAGTTTATTGATTGATCCGTCATGATTCTGCAGATGCCAAGCGGCTTATCGGTAGGAGATTCAGTGACTCTTCGGTGCAAGGCGATATCAAACTCTGGCCATTCAAGGTCATTCCCGGTCCTGCTGACAAGCCGATGATCGTGGTGAACTACAAGGGTGAGGAAAAGCAGTTTTCGGCGGAGGAAATCTCGTCCATGGTACTTGTCAAGATGCGTGAGATTGCGGAGGCTTATCTTGGAACGTCTGTGAAGAACGCAGTGGTCACTGTCCCGGCTTATTTCAATGATTCTCAACGTCAAGCCACAAAAGACGCTGGTGTCATCGGCGGGCTCAATGTCATGCGTATCATCAACGAGCCAACAGCCGCCGCCATTGCTTATGGCCTCGACAAGAAAGCCACGAGTGTTGGTGAAAAGAACGTGCTGATATTTGACTTGGGCGGTGGCACATTCGATGTTTCTTTGCTTACGATTGAAGAGGGTATCTTCGAAGTGAAGGCCACGGCCGGTGATACTCACCTTGGCGGTGAGGATTTTGACAACAGAATGGTCAACCATTTTGTTCAGGAGTTCAAGAGGAAACACAAGAAGGATATTACCGGGAACCCGAGGGCTCTTAGGAGGCTGAGGACTGCATGCGAAAGGGCAAAGAGAACTCTCTCGTCCACAGCTCAAACCACCATCGAGATCGATTCTCTTTATGAGGGTGTCGACTTCTACTCCACGTTCACTCGGGCAAGATTCGAAGAACTCAACATGGATCTCTTCAGGAAATGTATGGAACCCGTTGAGAAGTGTTTGAGAGATGCTAAGATGGACAAGAGCACTGTGCATGATGTTGTCCTTGTCGGCGGCTCAACAAGAATCCCCAAGGTCCAGCAACTTTTGCAGGACTTCTTCAATGGCAAGGAGCTTTGCAAAAGCATCAACCCTGACGAAGCCGTTGCCTATGGTGCAGCTGTACAAGCAGCCATATTAAGTGGCGAAGGCAACGAGAAGGTTCAAGACCTCTTGTTGTTGGATGTCACTCCCTTGTCGCTCGGTTTGGAAACAGCCGGCGGCGTGATGACGGTTTTGATCCCGAGAAACACGACCATTCCGACCAAGAAGGAACAGGTCTTCTCGACCTATTCAGACAACCAACCCGGTGTGCTTATCCAAGTGTATGAGGGCGAAAGAGCGAGAACACGGGACAACAACCTCTTGGGAAAGTTCGAGCTCACGGGCATTCCTCCTGCACCACGAGGTGTCCCTCAAATCACCGTCTGCTTTGATATTGACGCCAATGGCATCCTGAACGTGTCGGCTGAGGACAAAACCACTGGACAGAAGAACAAGATCACGATCACCAATGACAAGGGAAGGCTGTCCAAGGAAGAGATCGAGAAGATGGTGCAAGAAGCCGAGAGGTACAAGGCCGAGGATGAGGAACACAAGAAGAAAGTCGAGGCCAAGAACGCGTTGGAGAACTATGCTTACAACATGAGGAACACCATCAGGGATGAGAAGATCGGATCCAAACTCTCTCCCGACGACAAGAAGAAGATCGAGGACACCATCGATGAAGCCATCCAGTGGCTTGACAACAACCAGCTCGCGGAAGCAGACGAGTTCGAGGACAAGATGAAGGAACTCGAGAGCATCTGCAATCCCATCATTGCTAAGATGTACCAAGGCTCAGCAGCCAGCACAGAAGGCAATGCAGATGTAGATGCAGATGCTCCTCCTTCCGGTGGCAGCACCGCCGGTCCTAAGATCGAAGAGGTCGACTAAACCACGACACGTCATTTCATACTCTTTCTTATTTCCAGTAGAATGAACTGAAACCTTGTGAAAATTCTCTCTCTTTTTTTTTTTGTAACCAAAGTGAATGCTACATTGTTCTCCTCCAAACCTGCAAAAACACGGCTAAATCCCTAACCCGCTACCGCTCGTAAACTGCTTAACGACCTCTTCTTCCATTTCCATGAGCTGACGACAAAAAGCTTCCACATCATGCGCCTCTTCTTTGAACGTGAATCTGAATTCTCTCCATTGGTACTCACCTTCGGCTTCCTGACAAGGCACCTTCCCCAACAAGTCGAAACCTTTCTTGTCGATAGACATCATATACACATCCTGCACAAAATCAATATCGACATGAGCTCAAAGGTCCACGAGTTACAATTCCCGACTCCCGATTTCATGTTGGCTTATTATTACCCTTGTGTTCGTGTTGAGATAGTACAAACAAAATAGAATAAGGGCTCGTCTCCTTGCTTCGCTTCTGTTGATGCCATCGACAAGTTTCGTAGACCAAACAGCTGTCCAGGAAAACCGAATATAAATATTCGATGAGATACAATGGGCATAAGCAATTTTATCCCAAGTTTGCAATGAATACGTTTACCTAACGGATCTGCTTTTGATCGCTCCATATCTTCCATGTCTATTTCCTTGGTGGAACCACTCGGATCAATAAACATGCATGAACTGGGAACAAAATCAGATGGCAGCATACATAAGAGTGAGATTACCGATCCATGAAACCATGCCCGGATCAACAAATGCTCAATCTGTAGTTTTCTAGTTAAGCACTAAACTAAAATAAGCAACGGGAGAGATTGCAGAACACATAAAGGGATCTTCTTGGTTTTGAGAATCTCACCTCGGGGTGAACTTATAAATTAGATAGTTTTCTTTTCCTTCATCGAGAATTCCTTTCAGGGCCCCACACCGTGAGGCATATGTATTGTTGGATGAATCCAAGAGGCTTTGAACAGCATATGTGGTCTCACTAATCGCTATCTTCTCTGATTGTATGATTTCTTCGAGATATTTCTTCACCGACTCAACCTTTCAGTGAGTACAACAATAAGTTGTATGTGACCATCAATGAACATGAAGGTTAAACTACAACTTCTCCACATGGAAGGTTGGACGGCTTTCCTTACCTTTCCCTCTTTGACGGGCACAATATCTCCGGTTAAAGCTACCCGCATCGGTAGCTGCATAACAAGTAAACTTCATCAGGAAAGCTAAGAATACTAGATTCATGGGTACAATAGAAATCTAACCATTTCTTACAGGCTTTTAAGGAGATACAAAAACCAAAAACCAAAACTCGACAATGTGGATAGTTAAAGGAAGCAAAGACAACGAAAGCATAGCAGATGGTAACAAACCTTATTCATTGACTTGAGCAGCGGCACAAGGGGACCAGGGACCGGACGGGCTATAGAAAAGGATCCTCGCCCATCGACCATTAGGTTCTACGAGGTATAAATAGAAAACAGCATATCGTTCAAACATGTTAATGTTACCAAGGCACAAGTTTCTGAGACTATATTCAACTAAATTGGAAATTGGCAAACATTGAAGAAGCCTGAAGCTTACCCAACAGTGTGATTCGCTTTCGGGCACCCAAAGATAAGGCTTTCCACGCTTGATCACATAATTAACCTTCGAAGTATGTATTGCACTTTTCCGATACCCAATACACAGAAACATTTGTATGATCCATGTGGAGTGTGAGAAAATGTGAATGCACTTTTAGACGGCACAAGAAACTCATACGCTGTGTATGATGACTCATAGGCCCAGTTCAACATAATCAAAAGCCGACATCCCAATGTCTGTTATCGTTCTCAAAATGATTTTGGAGTGAGCCACTCACACCCATAATGTAAATTCAACTGATGAGGCTAAAAGGGTTCGAATCAATGAAAAATACAGTAGAAATTCAGCCTAACGAGGCGAAAAGGACTCGAATTTATGAGAAATACCTTGATTTAGCTTCGGATTTGATGGTGTTGAGATACCCTTGCCAGTTCGAGACAAGTATGCTCTGTAAAATTTAAAGATGAACAAAATTTCTCAATCAGAGACGAGAGAGAGAGGGAGAGAGAGAGAGAGAGAGAGAGAGAGAGAGAGAGAGACCTTGCACTTCTCCGCTAGCGAAGAGAGAGTCGCCTTGCTTCCCTTCATCGCAGCTCTATGCACACCAACTGTTCGCCGAAATGTCTCTCTCTCTCCGTATAAGTTGATGGGGGGGTCTTACTACAGCAATTCACAGAACACGCTTTCGTCTGGAACGTATGAGCGAGCGCACATAAAAAGAAACCGCACGACGTTTACCTATAATCCACTTGCACGTCTCCTCGTTTTAGGTGTGGAAAAACGTCGCGTCGTTTTCGGCCCAATCTTCTGATTTAGTGTTTTTTCTTAAAAAAAAGTAGCGTGGTGTCCGAACATAAAAAAATGTACTGTGTTATTTATTTTGTAACACAAATGTTTGAGGAATTGATAATAAAACGCTTTGTAAATTCCAATATTAAATAAATTTTATTTAAAATTATGAAAAATGATTTAAATTATCTTTTGATATTAGGTAAATTTAGTTAGACTTCAGTCAAAATATTCCATAAACACAAAACTTTTTAATTTACCACATAAATACGCCAATATATAAAAATCTTTCAATTCGATATATCAAAGTTGACGGCTTTAAACGGCCGCTGACGTCTGTTTGACATGGCCAACGGCACTGGAGCTGGTCTCGCCGGCAATGGGACGGTGATCTCGATATGATCGACGGTTTGCTAAAACGGAGCTTCCTTCTTTCCCGAGAAAATTTTGTGTTTTCCGGGATTTCTCACATTGGGTTGTCGCCGGATACTTGGTTTTTTTTAAAATCCCAATCAACCAAAAAAAAAACTTTGCTCTTCGGACTGCGTCACGCATTCGAGAATTTCGGCTTGACCCAATTCGAGGATTAACCAAAGAAGTTGAAATTTCTTGTTCGTCATGCAAATTTTTCTGCTTTGCGACTCTGTTTCTCTTGTAAATCTGTTTGTTTCCCAAGAAAATTTCGGTGTTTCTATCTGAGAAAGGGGGAGATTAGATTTTGTCGTCTGCTCCTCCTTTCTAAAGCATAAAAAGAAAGCAAATTCCGCGTTTCAAATTACAATTGAACACGAAATTTTCATGTTTTATGATCTGGAAACGGCTGAATCTATGGAACTTTCATTGCTTCCAAGCTTGCAGAGAAGGAGACAGGGAAA